CCGCCGGCCCCGCTCCCCCGCGGGCTCCCGCGGCCGGGCGGCGCTTGCAGAGCGGGAGACCTCTCCGGTGGGAGCGGCGTGAATTCACGGACCTGAAAGTCTCCTCGGGTGGTTTGAGTTTTTTGGGCTTGTTGGTTTGGTTTTTTTTGTTTTTTTTTTTTCCTTTTCGTTTGCCTAAGAAAACATCTCGGAATGGCTTATATGCCTACATCGACTAAATCCACCACTTCTGGGGAAGGCATTACACAATCGGGCCAGTTATACAAACCTGGCTTATTTCATAACTTGTTTACATCAGCTGGCCCAGCCTCACTCTTTTTTTTTTTTCTTTTTCAGAGTTGATCGTGTCCCGTTCCCCCCCTCCTTCCTCGCAATATTGTTATTTCTTGCGTGGCTTGTATGAGCGAACTGGCAGCGTGAGCGCATTGCTGTCTTAGGGAAAAAAAAAAAAAAAAGTCCGGTCTTAAACTTTGCCAACCGTACCAGCCCGTGACATTCCTCACATTAAAGAAGTTTTACCAGAAATGACTCGCCGCCGCTCCCCGCCTGCTCCAAACGCATCTCGCTGGTGCCCTCTGCGGGCTGCGCACCGAGGTTTCCCGGGATTGCAGCTCGGCTCCGGCTTATTCCCCGTTTTACAGTAAATGCCAGGACGAGGTGGGGGAGCGGGAAGGGGGGCTGAGAAGCTGGGAGCGCCCGGCAAGCTGCAAATCCTTCGCTCGCCCTTTCTTCCTCTGATTCAGCAGCTGCGCTGGATTCAAGCACTTGCTGCGGGAGGTTGTGAAACTCCGGCGACGCTTAATATTGGAGCTATCAAGGTCCGACCGATAACTAGGTTTTCCCCTTTTCATTTTCTGGGGCTGCGCATCTTGCCTGGGCAGCTGGCGTGCGTGGTGTTTGATACGGGGGCCAGAGCCCAGTTTCTAGGGTTACTATCTGAAAGGGGGCTTTGAGCAGGTCCCCGGCTTAGCGAGCACATAAATGTTTTCCTTAAGAACCCGGGAGATTTCTCAAGGCCTTGTGCGTCGTCTTTCCCTTGATCCTTACAGATGTTGTAGATTAGGATCAAATGTAAGCGTTGCCTTTACCCCAGCAGTCGGGCTGTTCTGCTGATTCTGGTCTACAGAAGGAGGGAGATCTGCAGAGTTTTATCGCTACAGAAAATATGCATTGTAGAAATTCTTTTCTTTAGTGGTTTTTTTTTTTTGTTCCCCCCAAAGCACGAAAAGATGCATCAGTCACATGCTTAAGTGGAAATTGTGTCTCTGAGCCAAAACTTTGATGCTTTTTAATTATTTTTCCCATACAACGCGGCACTGGAACGTTTTTCTTTTAAGTTGCATGTCATGCTATTTTCCTAATCACTGACTTGCCATGTGGTAAACATAGACTTTAATGGGAAGGGTTTGTGTACTCTTTCAGAGCGGTCGACTTCCCCCTCAAATATCACAGCACTGCGTCCAGTTTTCCTTCGAGGAGATGTTCAACATGGGAGAGCCATCAGGGGCCTTATATTTATTACAGGACATACCCTGTACACCCTGTATTTGATAACTGAGTAGTTGTTAAAGATTCTCTGAGTGGTTTTTTGGTGGTTTTGTTGTTGGGTTTGGTTTTTTCCATGGCCATTGTACCCATTTCTGGATCGGTTTCTGGTGCCGCTCAGCATTTGCAGTTACAGATGTAACTGAAGGTCCAGAGGGGAGCGGAGATGCAATGGGGCGCGGTATAGAAACTCCTCCTTAAGATGGAGAGGGGGACCACAGAGCCAAAGCCTGAAGTGTTCCTGTGCTCCTAGGTTATGACCTGCCAAGGTAGCCTGTCCCTGCCCGTGGCAGGACTCGCTGGAGACTCCCGTGACTATGGGTCAGGGAAGCTGCTCTCCAACCCTGTATTTCTAAGGCAGAGGAGAGACTGACCTCAGTTCTTGGCGCTCTTAATAACAGGACTCTTTCTGTTTGCTGTTCAGCTGTTGCTTTTTTTTAATGATACCTTCATCTGCGTGTTGCTTGGTCAGGAGGAGAGCGGTGGCTTCGTGGTTGAGCGTGTGCTGCGTGTGTAGTCCTGCAATCTGGCTATCTTTTCTGTAGCACTGTGAATTCCTCGTAGATAAGGAGAACCGAGAGCTGGCAGAGAGTTGCCTCCAGGAGCCTCTCCCGGGTCAGGAGAGGAGAGCTGTGGGTGTCCTGGGCGAGGAAATGGCAGGCGGGGGTCTGGAAGGAGGAGAAGCGGGGAGATGGGTGAGGGCAGGCGGTGCTGTGAGGCTGGCAGGGGGATCGAAGCTTGCCGAGGGGAGGGAGGAATGAGGAGAGCAAAGATTGCGCTGCAGTTTGGGGAAAGGCCTGGAGCTGCAAAGTGAGGAGGCTGGTGCCCAAAGGGGCTGTGCAGGGGAGGTGACAGGGAATTCGGGGCCTGCCACTGAAACCAGCAGTTTCCCGGGGCTGACTGCTACTAGGCAGAGCATGGGGGGCCAGCAGGGTTTTGGCTTGGCAAAGCTGATCCAGTGCATTGTCCTAGCAGGGAAAGTGAGATATGTGGGGAAAGCCTGGCCAGTCAGGAAGCAATGCCCGTAAAAACCAGCAGTAGCCTGAGCACCCTGAAGACTCAGCCTGTCACAGCAGCGTGTCCCTTAATGAGTTACCTGGGAAAAATACTGCCTTTGGAAAATACAGAATACAGCTTTGGGGGAATTTTTTAAGATATTTTGAGGGATTATGAAAGGGAGCTGGTGACAGAGATGGAGCATGGCACAGACAGGGACTGCAGTCCAACTGATCTCTTCCCTGGGTCTCCAAGTGAGCACCATGGAGCTGCCGAGGGAAGTGGCTGAACTGAGCAGCTCCCCTTTGCTGTCCAGGAGACCTCCACTAGTGTTAGAGAAGGGTCCTAGGTTGAATACAAGAGGGACTGCAAGTGGAGTAGTCACTTTATCAATAACTCAGGGCAGGATCTTTGTGTCAGCCACTTATATCTTATGTGGCTGATTTGGTGGTGGGCCTGACTCTCCCGACCTCTGGTGAGAATTTTTAGCAGGTCGTTGGGTGGCAGGGCTGCAAAGGCTATTTTCTCTGGAATGCAAACGGTGTCTTTGCATAGCAAAGCACCAAAAGATCTCTGAAGGTTTTGCAGCTATACCTTTCTGGTGTCCGTGCAAAGAAGACAGGACTCCTTGTTCTCTGCTTTTTGGGTACAGGAGGGATAGTGGCACAGGTGGGTAGAGGTCATGGCAGAAGCCACTTTTGGAGCTGGAAGCAGAACTTGCGTCCCCTGAGCACCTGTGGTTTAACTAGTCTCAACCTTCCTCTCTTCTGCGAGGTTAAGATCCCTTTGTTATGGTGTTTTGGTTGTTGGGGCACCAAGGCACCATCTCCTATGCCATGTGGTCACAGCCTACGCTGGGCAGAGCAAAGGAGGGGATTTGCTCCTGTAAATTCCTCTGTGGCATTGACAGTTTGCAGCTCTGGCCCTCTGTAGCTAATCGGGAGAGGTCACAAAGATGGCATGCACTCTGAAATGTGGGGTATGCTGAGGCTGTGTTGCACTTGAGCTCCAGGTGAATCTCTGAGGTTCTGGTGGGGCTTTTGCCAAGGTCTTGGTGCTGGTGTCATCCCAGCTGTGTAATTCCCCCACCCACTTAACTTGATTCACTCCTTCCTTCTCTTGCCCTTTCTTGCTAGATTTTGAGCTGTCCAAAGCTGTAAGTCGGTGTTTGTCGGTATTCAAACTGGATCTGCTGGTCTCCAGGCATTGGCAGCTGGACTTCTTATGGCTAATACTGGCCCGAAATGCTGTAGCTATCAGAATGTGAAATTCTATTTGCAGTAGCCTTGGTTTAACAAAGCACTTAAGGTGCTTGACTAGGCACACCCTGAAAAGGAAATGTGTGTCGAAGTGCTGTCCCTTATCTGGGACGCTTACCTGAGCTGAGGTCAGGCTGATGCAAGGGCTCTCGCTTCTCTGGGAAGCTAGTTTGTTGACCCAAGAATGTGCATTTTTCACGGGATCGTTTCATGGCTTACAAATCGGGGGTAGTGACGGCTGCTGGTCCTACAAGCCCTGTCCCTTGCACAGTGATTGCTGGAGCAAGGCACGTTTGTCTGTAAAACCGAGGCGAACCATTGAAAGCCTCCTGAAGGAGCTCAGCATAGACAAAAGCATTCTTTCTCTCCTGCTTCCCCCTCCGGGGACAAGCAATTGTTTTCCTTGCAGTTTAGTGCCAGCATATTATCCAGATGGATTTACCTCTGTCTGAAACAAGGTGTACATGCATTTTGGAGGAGATCATTACCCGCTGCCTTGGTTTTACTGCTGCCTTGTTTTGTCTAGACAGTGCAGAGAGCTGCAGGGAACTTGTCCGATCTGAATCCTAAGACCTATTTTATAGGCTGCTATTAAAATACATATCCTTGCACGTAACCATCCTGGGGCCGGATTGCTCGCCCTGTGTGTGTGGCGAGCGCACAGCCGCTGAACGAGAAGCAAGCTGCTGTTCTTGCCATACCAAACCCTATGTGGACCGAGCCCAAATTTCAGGGGAATCCTTTGGTAGAAGAAGGCTTTGCTCTGCTTGGTAACAGCAATTCAGAACTGAAGTTTCTCTTCCTTTTCTTTGGACTGGCAGAGAAGTGTTTTTCTAGAAACTCCTTAATTCCCCTTTCGCTCCACGCCGGAAGGAACGGTGGGCAGAGGCGGGAGGCGGCGGTGGGGACGCCGCCCGGGAAGGGAGGCTGGTGTAGGGGATGCTGGGGGGGGTGTGGGGGGGATGAGGAAGGGGGCCGGGAGAGGGCAGGGCTTGGGGGCAGCCTGGGATGCTGCAGAGGCACGGGCAGCCGGTGGCTTTGCTTCAGGTGCTGCTTTGATCCTCACTGGTGCTGCTCCTGAGGGCCTAGCTGGTTTCTGAGTAACCACTTATGTTCTGCTTTCATTGATGGTTTTTTCTCTCTCTCTCCCTTTCCTCCCCTGCCTTTGCTCCCAGAAATTTCGAGTAGATATGCCAGGATCAGGCAGTGCTTTTATCCCTACAATCAACGCCATCACAACTAGCCAAGACCTGCAGTGGATGGTCCAGCCCACCGTCATCACCTCCATGTCAAGCCCTTACTCTCGCTCGCACCCCTACAGCCATCCGCTGCCACCGCTCTCTTCAGTGGCCGGGCACACGGCCCTTCAGCGACCTGGTGTCATCAAAACCATCGGGACCACAGTGGGCCGGAGGCGAAGAGACGAGCAGGTAACCGCAGGGGGAAGAGCAGCTTGGGGTGCCTCAGAAACAGGCATACAGAGATTCCCCTGCCCTCTCCCGGGATCTCCTGACCCCACGGGGGAGTGTTGAGGTCTGTCCCCTGCGCTGTACAGGTGCTGGAGTTTCTCGGGGTGACGTAGGGTGTAAGCTGAAGGGTGATTTTATTGCTGCTTCCTCATCATACAGCGAGACTTACCCAATCTCCATCAAACATTTCACACCACTGGGCCGCGTTGTGGCTCGGTTTCAAAAGCAGGTGAAACTCTCAAGTTGAGCCTTGGGTTTCAGTTTGAGTGTCTCTGCCGCTCCAGGCAGAAGGAAACCTCTGAGCAAGCAGAGGAGCTTCTACGTAGGTCCTTTACAAAACTGACACCCAAATTACATCAGCTGGTGTTTTATATCTGCTCTGTGGCAGCTAGCGCGGCTCCAGTCTCACTTTTGGGTGATACCACCAGTACCAACCAGCATCATGCAGGGAGGAACAGGTCCCCTAGAGTGCCTTTGCTCCAGTAGCAAGAGCCTTCTGGATGTCTGGGGTCTAAATCCACCCTCCCACTACAAACATGCAATCGCTTGATCCCTTTACAGTGGTGAGGTAGGGGTCCTATAAGCTCATTTTTCTGCTCCCAACCCAGTGGCATTTTCATAGCTGGGATGGGGTGGCTTGTGCCACTGCTGCCCTGTGCTCAGCCTCGTGATGGGATTACCGAGCCAGGACCTGGGTCCTGTGCTGGGGCAGGGCAGTGGTCTTAGATGCAGCTGTCTCATTTGCTAGAAATCCTTTCAGCCCTGTGAATCTCTCCTCAGTAAGAAACGGCCTTCTCCAGGGCTGTCTGGTGAACAGCTATACCCCCCCCCCCCCCAAAAAAAAAAAAAAACCTGAATAATCTAGATCTCCCCGAGTTGTTTCCAAGCAGCATTTGTGTGGGTCGCTGCAGAGCAGTGTAACGAGACGCACTGCGCACCCTCAGTACACCAGCACACGCGATTGCATGAGGTCTGTTTCTAATAAGACTCCCCAGCCCTACTTTTACTTCCACGTCATCTGTTTTGATTCGCAATCTGATTGTTTTATGTGGAGTCGCTGTCTGGTTTGGACCTAAGAGGCAGGGAAGGAGTTAAACTCACTTTTCCAGAGGGAGCTGCACCTCTGTGCAGGGAGCCGGTATGGGTGCACTGAGGACCCGTTTTTGGGAGGAAGGATGGGGCAGCTGTGGTGGTTCGGGTACATGCCAGCCCTTTCCACCAGCCGGAGCTACCTCCTGGTTCCCTGCCTGCAGGGCTGGTGTCCAAAGCCAGGGAAGCTCTCAGGAGAACTGGGGGAATAATTAGCAACAACTAATTTGTTTGACAAATGCTGCCTCTGTGTTCACAAATTGGCCGTGAAGAGATCACCATATTCTCTGCTTTATTTGTTGTTCAGAGTTATTTGCTGAAGGATGCCTGCCAAGCAATTCCTGGCCTGTGGCTTGTTTGCAAGCCGTTCATTGTGGGTCATTCAAAGCCAAGTCCTTTTGATTAGACACGTGCTAAGGCAGTACCCGGGCGCTTTACCGTGGCTCTTTGGCTCAGGTTTCTGCTGTTGGTGCTTTGAACACCGCATCGGACTGCCTTTTTGGAAAACATTGTGTAACGCTTTATGAAAAGAGCCTGTTTTGATGAACATTTCTGCCAGCGAATGCACGTATTGGGCTTGGACAGGCTACAGATAACGCGTACAGCAGGGGCACGAAGAGTGCCAAATCCAACCGCTTTCAAACAAATCCAGCAACTGCTGACAGAATATTCTTTTTAGACCCAGTATAACGTTAAGCATGACCAGATTAGGGGCTTCGGCCCCATCTATGAGATTTTTGCAAGGCATAGTCTCAGAGACAGATAATTTAAAAATGACTGAAGGCCCTGGGAGGAGTCATTTCAGTCCCAACATATTTCAATGAGGTCTGTGCTTCTGAAGCATGAAAGGGCTCTTGAAAACTGTACGCAGAGGCCCCAGGTCAGCACAGGATCTGTGTGCAGGCTTAAAGCTTTGCCATACTGCAGATACTTGTGTGCAAATACATTTTTACCCCACACACGTACGGGCTGGAAGCTGATCGGGCAGAGCTGTTCTGGGGAGAGCGGTGCCTATGGGGGCTCCTTACTGGGGGAGAATATGCCAAAGCCCCGCCAGCTGCTGCCCAGCAGGGTGGAGGTACCCCCACCCTGAGATGGAGTGCGGTGGTCTGCCAATGGAAAAGCTTTCAGGCCCAAAACTTGTGTCCTGAAGTCCCAGAAGTGCTTGTGTCGCTCGACATGCATGCAGGGGCTCACGCGGCGTGCAGGTGAAATCGCAGGCACAGACCAGATCCTGAAAAAAAAGCAGAACCGAGCAAGGGGAGTGCCCAGAGGCTGAAGTAAACTCCCCGAAACTGTGAAGATCGAAATTAAGGAAATAAAGCAAACCAAAACAAACCAGAATGAGGTTAGAGTAAAACTAACACTAAAAAGAAAATATAGTAAAGGGGTGAATGTCTCGTTTGCCATTTTGACAGCCCCTGAAGATATTAAGACTGAAAGCTTTTATGAAGAGGTTTTTCTTTCCATTCTCCGCTGGCACTATGTGAGATCTGACACATGCTTTGCAGGGTGCTCGCTTCACTTTTGTTTGCAGTCATCGGGCTGAAATCCCCACAGCAAACACCAGCCCAGTGAAGCTGAAGTGCAGGGCAGGAGGTCGGTCCGCAGCGGAGGAGGATGCACGGCCAAGCACGTGCTGTGAATCCCCGTGGCCGTCTGTTGGCACCGTCTCTGCACACCATGTGCCGCAGCCGTGAGCCGGGCCATGCCGGCCCTCTTCACACACTGCCGTACCGGCTCCTCGGCAGCGGGGGCAGCCTACCCTCCCCTGCTGTTTTTTCCGGCCGGGAGCGGGGCCATGCCGGCCCTCTTCACCCCCTGCCGTACCGGCTCCTTGGCAGCGGTGCAAGCCTATCTGCCGCTGCTGGGATTTGTAAAACCTCGTCTCAAACCCCAAAAGCTAGGCCTGACTTGACCAGATCTTGTGGGCTCCTGCTCATTTCCTCTGGTTTCGCAAGAGTGTCACTCAGTGTGTTTCTATGGAATTACTCCTGATTTACATCAGTGAGGATGTCAGCTGCCCTCAGGAAGCCCTTGATACCACTGGAGCCTTGCCTGCTGATGCAAGAAGCACAGTGTGTTATCTTGCTGAGTGCTCAAAAATGTGAGGTCAGATTTTTGGGTGGTATAAATCATTGTTGCTTCACGGACTTCATGGGAGCTCTGCTGATTTCCCTGTCTCCCCCTCCACCCCATCCCCGACCTTCAAGCTAACAACTATTTTTGTGTGGGAAGCAGCAGATATTTTCTTTCTTGAAAGAGGCACTTACAACATCATGCTCTGGTTTTGCTTAATGTACCACCCAAGTTGTGAAACAATCAGAGCATCTTTTATCTGTTTGGCCTTGGTGCAGATTCACTGTCCTCTTACACAATCTTCCCCCTGCTCCCCACTCCATCTTCTCCTTACCCTTCTGCTAAGACCTGGTGCAGGCAGAGATACTATGCGCTTTCATCTTCTGCTGACATCAGTGAAGAGGGGGAGTGCTCAGCATCCTGCTGGATCAGGCCTTTTTTCTTTGCGTTGCGGTTAAATCCTCACAAACTTCAAGGAATGCCTTGCTCAGATCTGATTGTGGGTTTTCTTGGCGCTTGCCCGCAGCTGTCACCCGAGGAAGAAGAGAAGCGAAGGATCCGGAGAGAGAGGAACAAGCTGGCAGCTGCTAAGTGTCGTAACAGGCGTCGAGAGCTAACAGAGAAACTCCAGGCGGTATGTGCTCTGCATACGTTTCTCCTTCCTTGTCGCCCGCCCTTTGGATCAGCTTGAAGGGCGTTGCTCTCCCTCCGCTAGCATGTTTGAGGAAGATGCTACAAAACGCATGCTGCCTTCCTCTTCTGAGGCTGCCCAGTGGCGTTGCTCCTACATCAGCGGTGGTGAGGGCTCGAGCGTGGAGCTCAGGAGCCTAAATTCCCCTTGCTGATTGCCCAAAATGTGCTAGGAGCTCTCCTCCCTTCTAGCCTCCCAACTAACACCAGTCTCCCTACCGCTGGTCTCCCTCTGTAAGTAGAAATAACGATGCTGTGTGCCTCAAAGGCAGGCTTTAAGGAGAAAAGCACTGAAGGCAGTAGGATCATCTGAAAGCAGTAGAAAATGAGGCAGATGTTAGCCTAAAGGATGTAGCTTTGATAAGTACGCATAACCTTTCTTTGGTGGGGGTAGCTGATTTCCTGCACAAAGAAAGCACCGCGGAGACGTGTGGTCGGGTGCCGCAGGGGAAATAACTAGTGATGCTGGAGAAGGTAGGGATGAGGGCAAGAACCGTGGGGTGGGTAAGGGATTGGCTGAAGAGGAGACAAGGATGGGTTGCATGGAAAGAGGCTGGAGAGAAGGCTCCAGCATTTCTGCTCAAGAACCAGCGTGGGGCTGATGGCATTCCACGATCCTGTTAACGAGCACAGCAGCAGCAGTGAAAGCACACCAGTGAAACATGCTGCTGACTCAAATTCGGGAGGTATTCTCAGTGTAGGGGAGGCAGGACATCCTATAGGAAGAAATTAAGGATTGTCATGACTAAAGTAATAGAATTGAAAGGAGTGCAAAGTGGGAGGTCATATCCTGAAGGACTGAGGGTGAGTACTTCTGTGAAATGGTGAGCTCCTCACATAGGAAGGTACTAATTGCTCACAGACTGACTACAAGCCATCAGTGTGATGTGACCATGGGAAAGGTAAATGTATTAATCCAAGGATGCATCAAGGGATGATCCAGTGGAGATGAAAGTGTTAGTCCTTTGTGCAAGAGTCAGGCAAGTGTCAGACCTCATCTGGAATGTGCATTACAGAAGGAAAATGGGAACAGTTTAGAGATTGCTGTACACTACCTCTGTCTAAGAAGCGAAAAGAACATGACTTACCCCACACAAAAAATGATGGGAGGAGCTCTGAGTCCTCTCTGCTAAGGTGTCTGTCAGCCAGGCAGCAAGGGAGAAGAGTTAAGTCACAGGCCAAGGCAGAGTGGTAGAGGCTGGCCATGAGAAAATTCAGGTGAGCTCATGAGAAGACCGTTTATAACCCTTGGGTCGGTGAAGTTTGGGAATAGCCTACTGGTAGACATACGAAACACAAGATGCTCAGCTGGCAATGGCCTGGTGCCTGCTTGGCTTATGAAGAGTCTGGGGTGTATCTGCCCATGCCAGATGGGAACTGGATTTGATGGCCATGTTCCAGGTGAGGAGCAGTGCCAGAGCCTCTGATACTTACTTATTCCCCTTTTGTCTGCAGGAAACTGAAGTGCTGGAGGAGGAGAAGTCAGTGCTGCAAAAGGAGATTGCTGAGCTTCAGAAGGAGAAGGAGAAGCTGGAGTTTATGCTGGTGGCTCACAGCCCTGTGTGCAAAATCAGCCCTGAGGAACGTCGGAGCCCACCATCCAGCAGCCTCCAGAGTGTTCGGACTGGAGCGAGCGGAGCGGTGGTGGTGAAGCAGGAGCCTGTGGAGGAAGAGATTCCATCTTCTTCTTTGGTCCTTGACAAAGCCCAGAGGTCTGTCATTAAGCCCATCAGCATTGCTGGAGGTTTTTATGGGGAGGAGGCACTCAACACTCCCATCGTGGTGACCTCAACACCAGCCATCACTCCTGGCTCCTCCAACTTGGTGTTCACCTACCCCAACGTGTTGGATCAGGAGTCTCCTCTCTCCCCGTCCGAGTCCTGCTCCAAAGCTCACCGGAGGAGCAGCAGCAGCGGTGACCAGTCCTCAGATTCCTTGAACTCTCCCACCTTGCTGGCGTTGTAATCCCCCTGCGGCCCCCCATTTTGCCAGTGTGTTACACCCCCCCCAGCACCATGGGGGGAGCCCCCCTCCATGGGATTAGAGACAGGCACAGGATCGTTCAAGCACAAGGGCAGCAAGAACAAGGACGGGGAAGTGCTGCAGCTCCAGGAAGGAGAGTGAGGACCAACGCCAGCTCCCTGGAGGCAGGAAACGGCAAGGGTGGGACTGACGCGCCAGGACTGTTTGGAGAGGGTGATGTCCCCTCTGTAGGGACTGCCTATGGAAACCTTTTCACGGCCGTAGTGGACTTGGGGAGCACTGCTGGCTAGGACTGAAGGCGAGCTGCAGACAGTTGCTAGTTGTCCCTTTCCTTTGTGAATTGATCTGATCGGTTGTGCTCTGTACTTAGATCATTCTGGTTAGTTGATCTTACAACTTCTCTCTTTCCCCCTCTCTCTCTGTCTCTCTTTCTGCGCTTATCATTTCCAATGTTGTCGATCCCATGACATTTCATCCAGTTGCTCTGAACTCTAAAGGCTTGTTAGGATCTTTCCTCTTGGGACAGGCTGTGGGAAACATGTAGGGTTGCCCAGGCAGGAGGGGGATGGCTGGGAGGTCTGGGGGAGGGGGGACCAAGAGGAGCCTCAGGGCTCAGCAGCAAGGGCAGAGCTCCTAACTCTGGCCTGGAGCACAGACACAGTGAACAGAGACAGCAGGAGGCTCATGCGGAAGCCTTTCTTTTTTAAAATGTAGATATATTTATCCCCTTGGGCTCCTCAAAAAACCAAGTTAGCATCTCAGGGCCAAAGTAGCATCAGAAGAGCTGCTGGGCTGGCACTTATCAGTCCCTTTGGCAGGGTTTTACCCCAGTTCGGTGGATATCAAATCTGCTACTTGTTGTTTACTTTTCCTGGGCTGCCCGCTGTCTAGGGAGTATTGCATCTTCCTCCGCATCAGGGCTCCTGACTCAGAGGCTGATCTCTTCCTGTTAGTAAATCCTCCCCTCCCCTTGGCCATATTTGCAGAACATGCTACTGAAAAAGAGGTGGCACCACGTGCCCATAAATCTAGGATGGAGACTGGCAGCAGATAAGAGGGTGAAACTAGCTGGCTGTACCCTTGCTGACTTCTTCATTGTTGGGAAACAAAGCAGCGCTCATCCACCAGCGGATACTAGCAGGTGTTGTTTGCTCAGAGATTCCCAATTTCCAAGGTTGGGGGGAAGGCAGTGGTCCAATCTCCAGCACAGCACAGGCCATGAGGCGCTTCTGACCAGGCAGGAATGGCATGGTTGCAGTGATGACCTGTTTGAACTAGAACAGAGCTTCTGATAACCTCTGGTTATGAATGACAAATTGACAGTGGAGGAAAATCGATTACCATTATTTGCACCACCTCGGTCTTTGGCCTCTGTTTTTTTGCATTGTAATTGATCTGGTTTTGTTGGGGTTGATTGGCCTGAAGACAAAAAACAAATCAGAGGGCTCTTCCCCTAGCCTTGGGTCCTTGTCTTCTTCAACCTGTGGGCTTGGCTGCTACTACTAAGTGCTCACAGAGGGCACAAGCTCTCCAGTGCTGATGTTCACTACTGAAAACAGTAACATGTGTAACCTATTCCTGCTTGAAGCCAAGCTCAATTCCTGTTGATGTCAAGGCACTGACAAACCATGACCACGTGCACACTAGGATTGCCCAGCTTGCCAGCTAAGCTCTTTGGTCCTGCCTGTTGAAGCTGTGGTGGCAGCTATTTATTTTGGTGTGAGATTTTTCTTGTCCTTTTTTTTTTTTTTTAATCAACTGAAACCAGGGTACTTGTTGGTCAGGCTGGACCTGGAGAAATGCAATATGCGATTATAGGGCCAGTCCTGTGAGATGCTAAACTGCTGCAGTCCCCACCAACTCCACTGGGAATTAATAGGGTTCAGTCTTGTGGAACCAGACCTTTACTCAGCAGGGCTGGCTTCTCTCAGGCCCTGGCCACTGCCCATTCCTTGAATCATTTCAAAGGGACACTACTTTGGCTCTAAGGGTAGGCTTTGCTTTTTTATTATTATTACTATTATTTTTAAACCCAGATATTTACCAAAGCTGCCAGAAATAGAAATATATGAGTGATCTTTTTGCTTCGTAAAGCTGATTGTGATTCAGGCTGCTTTTTTATTGCTTAAACACTTCCATCTTTATACTGGTGCTAGGGGTATCAAAACACCAAAACTTCCTTTTTAGTAAAGTAGACCTTACACTTCCCATAGTAAGCACAAAGGATCCTGTTTTCATAGGGTTTTAGGTAGATGATATCACTTCAGGTGAAACTGCTGCTTCTCTAACTGTCTCCATTTTGCCAGATGCTTGTTTGGGCCAGTCTGGATTGAGAATCTAAAACTGTTCAATAAAATGTCTCTGCATGTCATTTCCACCCATTCTTGGGCAGAATTCAACGTTGACAAGTGGTGAATCCAAAAGTGATGCAGGTACTTTTGATGCCAGCTGACCAGGATCGCTGTCTCCCAGGAGATCAGGAGTGTTCCTACTAGGGGTTTCAGGGAGTCAGATGCCTCCTCGAACCTGAGTAAGCCTAACTCCTAGAGGAACAACAAAAAACTACCTTTGCTTTTGCTCACTGAATCATTGCCAAAAGGAGCTGCAGCTGGCCCTTGCCTGCTGCCTTGTCATTGACCTTCTCAGAGACAGGACAGGGCGGTCCTGTGATACTGACGGGAGCCATGTGAAACTGCCCAGAAAAGAGGATTATTTTCTGCTATCTGGAAAAAGCCCTGAATACCTTGTGCCTGCCTGTTTTGTCCATCAGACTTCTCAGAGGATGTCTGTGTTGGGATTGCTGGTCTCCTGCCTTCTGTATGTTGTGGATCAGCCTTTTACTTTTGTTTAGTTTCTGGCAGACAGGTACAACTTGAGCTCTGCTGCTGTTTTGGTCTGGCCCTCCATTCTTCTTTTCAGGTTTACTGGTGTGCTTTTTGGGAATTGACTGTCTTCCCCATCTCCAAAACAGTATTTTCCATGAGTACCTTCCCTGCCGGTTCCTAAATGTAGTGTCTCCATGTTCTGCATGTAATGGGGATGAGGGAGCTGTCATAACTAGTGTCTGACCAAGAGCTGTTGAAGTCAATAGAAAAAGGCCCAGGGAATTTCAGCTGGTATGGGGTCAACCCCTAGTCACTGGCTCAACGAAGCCTCTGATAACATCTTAAATTAATCAATGCCAAACTGTGAGGAGCAGTAGCAGCTGCATTGAAGGAAACATTCAGTTTCCAGGTGATGTTTGCCATTCCAGTTTTGCCCTCATTCCTCCTTCCCAGTTGTGGCATTGCCTTCATCCATTCCTGTCTCGTAGGTGTGGAGACTGGGTAAGTCTCAAACTGCTTGTGGTGTGATGGGATTTGGGACCAACATGTTGGGGACAGTAGCTCTCTGTTGTGTTTTTATAATTATTATTTAAATGATCTATTTAGTTCATCTGAACCTTTAATTTTGCTGCTTACTGTATGTAGGATCCACCTGGCCTTCATCCTAAATGAAAAGAAAAAAAAAAAAAAAAAAAAAATTTTTTTGGGCGGGCGGCGTTCTTGTGCCTGCTCCAGCAGATCTGCCTGCCATTAATTTAACATCCTCCCAACTCGCATTCCTGGTGTTTGGTTGTTGCTTCTTCTTTTTTTTTTTTCTTTTTGTTGTTGGCTTTTTTTTTTTCATTATAAAACAGACTTCTGAAATGTAAGAAATATTATGATGACACTTAACAAGTTCATTTTCATTAGGAAGGCCAAGTCAAGCATTTTAAGAGGTGGGGGGAACAATCTACATTTTATTTCTTATTTATTTATCATGTTTACATCTTTTTTTCTGTTCAAGACTTGGATATAATAAAGAAAGCATTAAAAATACTCCAATCTTCTTCTTTTTTCAGGCTAATAATTTTTTTTTTCAGTTCTTTAAATAAAAGATTCTGGGTTTTGTTGTTGTCTGTATAAAATGTAAAAAGAGATATGTTTCTAAAGATGCATTATCATTCCTCTGTGAACAGTAGGTGGAGTTGAGGACAAATCTCAGAATACAAGATGATAATAAAATCCCATCCTGTTTTACTTAATTGTTCCCCTCCTATCCTGTATCATTAAAGGGTTATTCCACTTTCTTGTTTGTGGTTACTTGATATTAAAACCATATTAAAATGTGTAGAAAATAGGTATCAAATTGTTTTTGCTCAGTGAGAGGATAAACTGTTGTATATATCTTGATATACTGTGTAGTTCAAAGTAACATCAATAAGGGATAGTGCATCTTTATTAGAGCGATAAGTTACTAGTGTCACTAAAGTCTACTTTAAGATCCTCAGATACAGAAAGGGCCTGATTCTGATTCCACTCTCCTGGGGGCAAATTGAAAGCATCAGTAGTATTTTGCTGCTGCAAAGCGAGTGTCGGAGGTGGAATCAAGCCTTGGTGATTAATAGGCAACCATGAGGATTATTGAAGGTTTGGGGGCACCATTCTCTTTTTTTTTTTCCTCAAAAGTTTTAGATCATGGTTTTTCTTCTTTTTGTCTGCGGTGAAATAGTTTCTGCCAAGGAGGTCCTTAAAAGGTGACTGCTGAATTGGGACCCTTCTTTGCTTGTCGTGATCTTGATATCGTTCTTGCAGTCCTGGAGAATCTCAGCTCTGAGGCATTCTCTGGTGTTGTCTCTTTTCTGTTCTTGTTATTTTACTGTAATACAGGCCTACAGTATTTGCACTAAAACAAAAAGCTTGTTAGAGAAAGCTTGCTGCTATGAAAGAAAGAACATATTAAAATGGTTTTGCTTTTACAATTTTAACTGAGTAGCATTTTGTAGAATAAAATCAATTTAGACTGAAATGAAAAAATGACTTTTTTTTTTTCCTCTGCACCTTCCCCCCCCATACTCTTTTCTCTTCCTCCCATTCCTCGGTGGTGTGATGTTCCCTCCTTCTCCTTTGGTGCTCAGTTGTAATGATTGGCTGTGTTGTTGACTATGCTGCTGAGAGTTATGACACTTGTAAATCTTGTTTTAATGACATTGTGGACACTCTTTTGTATAGCAAGAGCTAACTGGAGTTCTTCTCTCTCTGTTAATTGAAGTCATTAAAAAGCTCCCTTTGCCATGAACAATTAAAAGCTTGCATGTTCCTTCAATATGAACAAATGGGTACAGCATAACCAGGTGCCCGTTTGTAGCACATTTCAGGGCTTCTTTCATTAGAGCAGCTGCAATCCAGACAGCTGTTAGCTGCAACAATGGGAAATGGGGCAGAAGCTAGCAGAGTAGACCACCTGGGCTAAAAGGCAAATAATGCATGAATCCTTTCATCTTGGCTTCAGAAAGAAAGGGATAGAGCTAGAAAATGCGTGCTGAGGTGACTTTATTCTTTTTTTTTTCT